CAAGCCTAATACAAACAAAAAAGGAAAAAAAAAATTTACTGTCAGCAAAGTGTGATCCCTTGTTGTCATCGTCCACAACAAGTGCGATATCTTCGGGCATTTTTTTCAATCGCAATGAAGCATTTGTCACCAATTCACTCGATCTGCTCCCGTCCAGCTTTCCGGGGCTCGTTCTTCGAATCGTTAAAAATTCTGCGCTTTTATGGAAGTTACTTTCCAATAACGTCTCTCTAATACTATTTGTTACCTGCAATTCAAGTACTAAGAAAATCCATCATCTGTCAGCGCGAGCATGTACAAAACAAAGTGTTTGTGAAGTGTTTAAAAAAATGCTTTTAAACAACTGCAAATTACGTGAGAGTATTCCCAAGACTGAACCAGCCAGGTTCCCTACCAGAGACACATATCGAATAGGCAGCGAGGCTTAGGAACGAAGGGATTAGTATAGTTATATAAGGCATAAAGATTAATGCCAAAATAATGGCTATCTGGGCGAGTACAGTCTCCAGCGGCCCATGTATCATATTCATATCCCCCTTTTTTTAAAGTAGCACACGATTTTTCGTTTTAAAAGTCGAAAATCCGATCGCGCCAGTGAAGCAAACAGTTCCCGTACGACTTGTTCATCCATGCCAAGCTGACATTAGCGAATGGCAGGGAACCAAACCAGTTATCTGCTAAGCAGTTTTCGAAAAAGCCAACTACAACTTTGTGAATAAGTGATGTTATCACTTACTGTTACTGACTACTTCCCGATGCATTCGCTTCTCGCAAAGAGCAGATACCGAGGGTACTTTGAGTCAGTTTTGAAATTCATTAACATTTAATTTTACAAAAAAAAAAAGAAGTGTTTCGTGGAAGGACTGTTTGACTGGTATTCCAGCAACTGCTGAGCTTCGTATAACAGCCAATGGCTCGCAAAAAGCAGTACCACCGAACAGCATTCGAAGGGGGAATGCCATGGGATATTAACCATACACATTCAGCTCAGGATGAAGGAGGAACTATGACAAACTATCAGCCCACATATGAATACAACTTAATAATATTAGAAGTTCCACCAACAATCAAAATAGCCGGGCAATGCGCACTCTCACTTCTTCATCTTACTGCAAAACGACTAGTTTTCTAGCTTC